ATTTACCACCTTTAAAAATTCCAATTACAACCTCCTCAACCTCTTTTACACACCAATTAACATTATTTTTTAATTATACAATCCAATCAACACCCCAAATCCCAATACAAACTACTACACCCAAATATATATAATTAAACAATCTCCTATTCCCCAACCCCCACAATTGTCACAAAATAGCTTTACACAGTTTAGCTTAAAAAACAATCCACACCAATGCCACCAAGAACCCCCTAAACCCTCCTACCCCCCAGTACCCCCCCCAAACATTCCATACATCCTCCCTCGCGCTCTCTCTCTCGCGCTCCCAGTCGAAGTGAGAGATATAGAGATGAGGATGCGCAGATACACCTACACACCCCCTCAGCACTTCCACCCACCCCATCACCACCCCCCCAGCTATAACCGTACCAATATCAGGTTTACAATAGGTAAACCACCCCCCCCCCCCCCCCCAACTCCCACACCACATAAAGACAATGGGGCTCGGCGAGCCGACTGTTAACACACGGCCAGCCATCCCTGTAGCCCGCCGCAACCAAGGCGCCATCTGCCCAGGAGCAGAAGAGACGGTGCAGGGCCCAAGGGAACGACACAAGCACAGAGGAGAGAGGGGGCCCCCGAACCCCACAGGCCCAGGACCTCAGACCACATAGGACCCAGAGGGAGAGAGGAGGCCCGAGGACACCCACCGGATCCAAGAGCCAGACCCGAAGCCCCAGCAGAACCCCAGCTCTAGATGCAGAGGGCTCCGCCAGAGGAAACACTAGGAGACCAAACACAATACAATATTACAATAGAAAGTAGAACAATAAAAAGTGACAATAAAAAGAAAAATGGCTGCTCCTAATATTTGATAATAACCAATAGTAAAAGGGTACGATACAATAATAATTAACAAATAGTAAACAACATAAAAACTAAATACCCAAGATAGAGTAAAACACACCAGTATACCAAAAAGCAATCAATACAACCAACATACAACACCAAAAGCAACACCCCCTTTATAAATTTTATAAAACCCCCACATCCTAAAATTTCATCCATCTCACATTCTCATAAACCTTTATTTTACTATATTCCCTCTCATCCAAACTATATATTAATAATCAAATTTTATTAACTTATAATATTTCTTACATCTTCTTTTTTTCCATAACACTTCACCTCCCCCAATCTCCCTCACCTCTTCTCCAACTCAAAAAACCCCAACCCCTCCAACCCCATCAATCCCCTTTTCTTCTTAAAACACCCTCATACTATATTAATATTAATACTTTCCTATTTTTTAAAATCCTAAAAATACAAATACATAAAAAAAATTCCTCCTCTTTCTTTCAACTTACTCATTCACCATTATCCACCCTACATAATTAATATAATCTTTTCTCTCTCATTTTTTAATTTCATAACAAACCCCATCACCCCCACAAAAATATATAAACTCATATTTCCACCCATACTACTATACCCCCCTCAACTTCTTAAAACAATATCAAATCTCAACAACCCCTCTATATCAATTCTAAATTACCCCTAAAACCCAATTTCATTCATCATAACCCCCACTAAAATCATTAATCTACTCTCCCCTAAAAATCACTTCAAACCTTAAACCCCCATTATAAACCCCTTCCACCCAATTCCTCATATACTTCTCCCATTCTATACTATATACACAATTACCATATTTCCTACCCAAATACACATTCATATCCCTTTTCTCATACCTTAAACCCCCTTACTTTCCCAACCCAATTCTATAATTTTCACCCATATCAAAACTTCATCTCTTCTATTACACCACACATAAATAATTCAATATAACCCACTCCTATCCCCAAATATATCCTCCCCCTCTTTCTTATAATACTTTATCACCCCCTCCATTATATTAACATATACAATATTTCCCCTCCTCTCACTATTTCTCTTATCTTATTATACTCACTAACCCATCCATTACCCCTCTATAATCCCCCAATCTACATACTTCCCCTATATTAATAAAAATTTCCTCCAAATATCAACCCCTCCCCAAACAACCCCACTCAAACTACACAATAAAATCATCAAATAATTACAAACATACAACAATAAAATAAAACTAAAACAAACCCCAAACATTTACAAACCATATACACACCACAAAACCACATAATCCCCCATAAAATTAAATTTTTCACAAAATTATTTACAATCATACCTCTTTCAAATTATTCTCACCTATAGATAGAGAGTAGAGAGAAGGAGAGAGATATATTACAAATATATATTATATATCATATACACATATAAACTCCACCCATATAAAATATTATACAAATAATAATCACTTCACTTATAAACCAATCACTTAACTCTCTTATTTCTCAAAATTCATCTAACATCAATTCTTTCTAAAATTCACCCTACACCACATAAATATATTTCAATACAATAAAATAATAAAAAAAAATTATTTTAAAAATAAAATTACTTATTTACCAACCCATATCAACCCTTTTACCTTCCCTACAAGATGAGAGATAGATATTAGAGAGAGATCTCTCTCTCACACTCGCACACTCAAAAACAAAACCACAAACACATATACCAAAATCCACTAAAAATAAAACACACATAAATATCAATTCTATATATCTTTTACAACTCAATTAACACTCCCCCTATATAAAATACCAATTTCAATAACCATTAAATTTTATCATAACAAACCTACCTCACACGCTCATCATTGTATAGTCTTTACTATACTATTCACCCAAATACATAAAACTAAATCAATCCATACATACTCTAACCAAACTAAAACACCTAAAATCATACTCAATTACCAATTTCATTAAAAAACTTAAAAAAAACAACCCAATTAAACAACAAAATCATATAGACAGATAGAGAGCAGACGTCATATATTCAAATAACACCACTACAACACACAATAACAACTAATCACCACATACCAAATTTTTAATTTAAATATCAAATATATCTAAATACTACACCCCACCTTACCCAATCCCATTCACACCAATTCAACATCAAACAAAACAAAACCCATTATACCATATCACTCAACACCCCATCATATATCAACCAACACACCAAATAAAATTAAACACACCACAAACACTCAACCACCAACCTAAACAACCAACACAAACCACAAACAACACCAAAACACCAAACACTAAACAAACCCATATAAAATAACATCATCCTACTACCAACACCAAACCAAAACCCATTCTTCCATCTAATATCTCCTAATATCATCCTATCCACTAAAAAAAAATCCTACCAATTCCTTCTCATTTCCACACCCCATACCCACTTTCTTCATTAATACCATCCTCTACAACAAATATTTATCTCTCCCATCCCACCCCCACCCACCCCCCCCCCCCAATAACCAAAATATCAATTATATCCCTATTAACACCCACCTAACACCACCCATCTATATCTCTACTCTATCTCTCAACCCAAATAATTCCTAACAACCTTACACATCATTACCCACAAATTTTCAAATTCTCTACACAAATAATTCATATTACAATAACAACAAATCTTAAATAACATAAAACATTCACTCCAACTTTCTAATTAAATTTCCTTACTATTAAACAATACCTAAATCTTTACAAACCTACAATTATTCAAACCCACCAATTATTCTCCCCTCTTCTATCTTATCTAAATCTATTTTTTCATCCCCAATTCACTACCCCCCCTAACCAAATACTAAATAAACCAATACATTACCATCTAAAAATTCCCTCTCCCCTCCCTCACATTTCTTCTCTTAATTAAACTTTATTCTTCACTACCACCTATACTCTAACTCTACCATTAAAATAATACTATATAATAACTTACTAAAAAATGAGAAATATCTCGATTTATATCCCACCCCCACCCACTCAAAAAACCCCCCCCCACATCACAAGAGAATATAGAGTATAGATATATATAGAATCCACAATATATAATAACATATAATTAATAAACACCTAACTACAAAATTACAATTCCCTACTATCATCATTCAAAACAACCCCATACTATTAATTCTCTCCAACACGCTACATCCTACCCTAACATCCAATATAAATATAACTCCCTCCCTAAAAAAAAACATCAAAAAATACAAATACCAATCACCCATCCCCTTCTCTTCACTACCCACACATTTTCATCCACAACATTTACCCCTCCACACACAAATTACAACTATCCTCCCCATCTTAAAATAAAACCTCTATCAATTCACCACAATACCTAACCAAAACAAAACACTTAAATCCCCACCCCCCAGATAGATATATTGATAGAGATAGAGATATATCTTCACCCTAACTCCATAAACAAAACACCCTCTAAATCACCAATTTACACTTACTTCTTTACTCTCAAATATATAACTAATTCTCACCCCATATAAAAAACAACCACCCCCATCCAAAACCCAAAAAAAATCATATATCTATATTATCTCACCATCCAACCCCCCCATCCATATCCCAAAAAAAAAACTCCCACCCCCCCCTATCCCCAAAAAAAATCACTCAAATTCACCAATTCCCATACCCCCCTACAAACAATCTATTCAAACATCATCCAATTCTTTAAACATTCCAAAAACCCCCTCTTCTCCCAAAAAAACCA